CAGGGGATGTTCCGTCGCCATCGCCGTCGCTGCCGCCGTCGCGTCGCCGCCGCCATCACGTCCCCTCCTTCACCTGAGTCTGTCGCCGCTACCTTTCTTTTTCTTGGAACTTCGTCCTGAAGCACGCCAACCAAAGCGAAATACACCAGTCCATCCGCAGCGAAATTCAGCAACGCTGTCGTTGAGTCGAAGGGAAGCCCCTTCCCTTTCATCCCTTCCCCGCGGAGGGGGGGGGTCCTGGAGGTGGTCCTGGGGGGTGGTCCCGGGTCAGAATACCACCTTCCTGGGGAGTGTCGGGAGCGCCCCCTCCGTCCCATTTCCGTCGAAGGCCGAGGCCCCTCCAGGGTCGGCGGCACTGGCCGTAAGGTCTTAGCAATAAATGAAAAACAAAAACAACATCCATCCATGACATGAAGATGCATCCTCTCCATGCCTCATTCTCCCTCGATCACTACTGTTGCGTGGACGGCTTTCTCTTGCTGGATTCAGCGAAGGGGATACACGCCAACAAAACAGAAGAGGGAAGGACGCGGAAGATGAAGAGGAGGAAGAAGGGGGGACAAGTGAGATGAGTAGGGAGGGCTCCAAACGAGCTGGGGGAAAGCGAAGGCGACATGAGGACCGCGAACCACAGGGGGGAGGGGAGGCCAGAGATGACAGGGCCCTGGGACACACAAATAAATAGACGCAAATACCAGGATTCCCCATGTTTTCCCATATTTGCTTGGTGTTTGTCTTCCCCCCCACTTCACACATTTTCCTACATTTTCTGAGGAATCGACGATTAATTGTGTCTGTTTGTTTTTTCCCCTCCTGAAAAGAGAGAGGTACACGCACGATCTTGACCGGAAAGCCTTCGCTCACGAAGCGCAGCTGGGCTCGAGCGCGTTCGTATCTCCAGAGGTCCGGGCAAAAAAGCTGGCAGGGGCCCGGGACCTCTGGGGGTCGACGGAATGAAAAAATCATTACGTCGGGGGTCTGGGCCGACAGATCGGCGATATTCCAAATCCCGTATTGATCGACCCCCCCTAAAAAACCGGACCCCGCAACACCATTTTCCAACCAGGCAGCATCAGCCATCAGCGGAAGAAAAACAAACAAAAAGATATAAACGGCGCTGGGTCCCCCTCCCTGGCGCGCGGATTGCGCCAGGGGCGGCGCCTGAGGCGCCGGAGGATCCCAGCGGCGATCCAAGAAATCCGCGCAAAGCTCTGAGTGTTGATGTTTATGCCACTTCTCTTTTTCGAAAGGCTCACCGCTGGGAGAGTCGCCATCTTCTCCTGGAGGGAGCGGGAGCTGGACCTCCCGGGAAATCCCCCATCCCACACCCCAGAAAACGTCCAGACACCCTCCCGGTCTTCGATCCCCCCTCCTCCTCATCCTCCTCCTCCTCCTCCTCCTCCTCCTCCTCCTCCTCCTCCTCCCCATCTTCCTCGATCCTCTATCCTTGGGAGGAGGTGGTGACCCCCCCCCCTCGAGGTGACCCCCTTTTGCCGAGGGCCTTCAATCCCACCAGCCCTCTGGGTGTGAGTGGTTTAGCGAGCTTCCTCTTCCATCTTCCCCATTCCCCTTCGGGAGGGGGTGACCACGGCTCCTATTAATGAACACCCCCTCCCCCAGGCGACTGGCAGCCAGCCAGTACCCTCGAGGGCTCCCCACCACCATCCCTGTCAGAAAACAGTACGAAGTACACTTTGGGCAAAATCTTGGAGTATGCTCGTGGGCCCCGCCAGCACTTTATATTATTTGTTGACAGGGACGGCGGGGGTGCCAGCATGCTGCCTGCTGTGCGCAGGGCCACCACCCCTGTCAACGAACATTTCAAAATGCACTTCACGGCTACATCTGGATCATGCGCGGCCACCCCGCAATCGCGGTCTATTGTTTTTTGACGGAAACGGCGGAGGTGCTTATTGCCTGCTGTGTGCAGGCCCACCAGACACCATGATGGCCACCCCGCCGCGATTGCTCATTGGTCTTCGACAACGATGGTGGGGACCGACGTGATTTCCGATGTGCACGTGCGCACCTGGCGCCCTCTGCGCGTGCCCCGAACGTGGTGCACCTGGCGCGGCTGCAGCATGCGGCACACTTGGCGCACGTGGAGCACGTGGCGCATCTGGCGCACCAGGCGTGCCTGGCACGGTCGGGCCAGGGGCGCTTGGCGCGCCTGGTGCGCGTCGCGCGCCCGGCACGCACGGCGCACCTCACCCCAGCGTCGCACACATGAGGTCTGTTTTGGCTCCCAGTAGCTGCCCATCCAAAGACGACCGTTGAACATGCTGAGGCTCGGGTGCTACTTCTGTGTTGGGAGGGCGGGTGAGAGTGAGCGAGAGGGCTTGCGGGCGGGAAATGTGTCTTGACCACTCCACTAACCCCCTCCTCCTGGACCCGGACGGGCCCACCCGCGGATAGTTGGAGCGTCCAAGAAGGCAAAACTCGTTGATGTTACTTAGGTGTTGGACCAATGTGGGCCTCCTTAGGGGGGCGAGGCTAAGTGAGCGCCACCCCTTCTTTGATCGATCTCCTCCCAGATGGTCCCAAGATGGCCCCCAAGGCTCCCAAGAGTGCCCCAAGAGGGCCCCAAGAGGCACCCAGGCGGCCCCAAGAGGCCCCCAAGAGGCCCCCAAGAGGCCCCCCAGAGACCCCCAAGAGACCCCAAAGAGGCTCCTCGGAGGCACCCAAGACGCTCCAAGAGGCCCTGGGGCAGCCACGAGGGCCCCAAAGCGCCCCAAAATGACTCCAAGACGCTCCCAAGACATATCCGAAAAGACTCGGAAAGGCATCCAAGAGGCCTCTGGCCATTCTGCTCCTCCTCCTCCTCCTCCTCCTCCGCCTCTTCCTCCTCCTCGCCCTCCTCCTCCTCCTCCTCCTACTCCTCCTCCTCCCCCCCTCCTCCTCCCCTACCTCCTCCCCTCCTCCTCCTCCTCCTCCATCTCCTCTTTCCCTCCCTCCACCTCCTACTCCTCCTCCTCCGCCTCCTCCTCCTCCGCCTCCTCTCTGATCCTCCTCCTCCTGATCCTGCCCTCATCTCATCCTCATTACCCTCAGCCTCCTCCCTCCCTCCTCCTCCTCCTCCTGCTCCCCTCCTCCTCCCCTCCTCCCCCTCCTCCTCCCCCTACCCTCATTACTCCGCCTTGCCCCCTCCTCTTCCTCCTCCTCCTCCTCCTCCTCCTCCTCCTCCTCCTCCTCCCCCCTCCCCTCCTCCCCCGCCTCTTACCTCGTGGGCCTCTCCTACTGCCTCACCCATCCTCACCTTCTGCCCCGACCCTCTCCCCCTCCTCCTCCTCCTCTCTCCTCCTCCTCCTACCGCCTCTCCTCCTTCTCCTCCTCCTCCTCTTTCCCCTCCTCACTACCTCCTCCGCCCTCCTCCTCCTCCTCCTCCTCCCACACCTCCCTCCGCTCCCTCCTCCTCCCCCTCCTCCTCCTCCTTCCTCCTCCTCCTCCCCTCCTTCGCCTCCTCCTCCTCCGCCTCCTTCCTGTTCCTCCTCCATCCTCCACCTCCTCCTCCTCCTGAACCTAGCTCCTCATCCTCATCCTCTCCTCACTCCTCCTCCTCCCCTCCTCGCTCCCTCCCTCCTCCCCCCTCCTCCTCCTCCTCCGCCTCCTCCTCCTCCTCATGCGTCCGGTCCTCGCCCCTCCTCCTCCTTCCGCCTCCTCCTCCTCCTCCTCCCTCCTCCTTCCCCTCCCTCCTCTCCTCCTCCTCATGCTCCGTCCCTCGCCTCCTCCTCCTCCTCCCTCCTCACTCCTCCTCCTCCTCCTCCTCCTCCTCCTCCTCCTCCTCCTCCTCTTCCTCGTCGGCCCATTCCTACTCCTCATCCCTCCTCCGCAATTACACAATATGAAAATACTCTCCCACTTCCCCTGATGGCGTCCCGAAGATATCCGACCCCCCCCCGCGTATTGTTTTTTTACACACAGGATTCCCGGGAAACGGGTTTTCGCCTGCGTTTTTTCCCAAAATGCTGCTCTCGCTGAGGCGCCGGCCTCATTTCTGCTCCCGAATCGTTCCGAATCGTGCTCCCGCTGCAGCGTGGGCCTCATTTTCGGATCGGTGTTTGGCCTCCGTCGTTCAGGATGGCGTTCTCGCCCCAGCGCGGGCCTCTTTCTCGCGCGCCCATCCGCCCGCCACCACCGCGCCGCACCACCACCACCACCACCACCACCACCACCACCACCACCACAACCACCACCAGCACCAGCACCAGCACCACCATCACCACCACCACCACAACCACCACCACCACCACCACCACCACCACCACCACAACCACACACGCACGCACGCACGCACGCACGCACGCACGCACGCGCACCACCACCCACTACGCACGCGCGCGCGGAGCCACAGGTCCGCTACGACACGCGTCCGCGGATAGAGAAAATCAGCGCCATGGTAAGGGATGGGAGGGAGGGGTAGGACGTCAGATATGACGCGAGCGCACCTAGCTTGTCCTCCTCCTCCTCCCCCTCCTCCTCCTGCTCCGATTACTCGTCCATCCTACCCCTTGGGGTATGACTGCTTCCCCAAAACGTAGTTCCACTGCATGCTCCTCCACATCGCTGATCAGGGCAACTTGCCTGGGTACTGTTTCTGTATGGGCTGATGGGCTTAAGCGAAGCGCTTAGAATTATGCACCTCACCAGTCTTTGCCAAGCCCATCTTAAGCTCCAGATGGGTGCAAACGCCCTCCTAGCTTGGCCAGGGGGGCATGTACAGCGATCTTGGCCCAGGATCGGCCCAGCCAAAACCGGCGAAATGGATGGTTGACGTCTGGACCTCTCGACCCCTTCCGCCAGCTTTTTGTGCCGAGTCGAATGTTGACAGTCCCGGGGCCCGAGACTCCAGAGAGCAAACCAACCAAGAACAAAAAAAACACTAAAAAAACATGTTCGAAACATCAGATCTATGATCTACCACTGCCTGAATGTTTGTCGAAGACAAGGCGAGCGCGAATGCCCAGCCCTGGGGGTGCCCGAGGCCGAAGAGAGGCGCCCGCCTGATCTCGGAGGTGTGCCTGAGCGGCCGCGCGGGCGCCGTCCGGGTCAGCAGGAGGATCAGGACGACGATACTTCCTCCTCCTCCTCCTCCTCAACCTCCACCTCCTCCTCCTCCTCATCCTCCTCCTGCTCCTCCTCCTCTTCCTCTTCCTCCTCCTCATCCTCCTCCTCCTCCTCCGCCTCCTCCTCCTCCGCCTCCTCTCCTCCTCACGTCATCAGCAATAGCAACACCGTCAGCCTCCTCCTCCTCCTCCTCCTCCTCCTCCTCCTCATCGTCATCATCAGCAGCAGCATCAGCATCAGAAGCAGCATCAGCATCATCAGCATCACCATCATCATCATTCCATAAGGATCGGCATGTACATCATCATCCTCATCATCAGCATCATCAGCATCATCATCATCATCATCATCATCATCATCATCAACCTCAGCAGCATCATCATCAGCAGCATCGTCATCATCCTAATCATCATAGTCAACATCAACATCATCATCAGCAGCAGCAACAGCACCTGCATCGCATCAGCAGCAGCATCATCAGCATCAGCATCAGCGTCGTCAGCATCATTATCATCAGCATCATCATCACTATCATCACCATCATTACCATCATTACCATTTCATCATCATCATCATCCTCATCATCAGCAGCAGCGTCTTTATCAGCAGCAACAGCAGCATCATTCTCATCATTATAAGATTCAGCATAAGCATCATCATCATCATCATCATCATCATCATCATCATCTGCAGATGTGCAGCATCATCATCACCATCGTCCTCATCCTCATCATCATCATCATCATCATCATCATCATCATCAGCATTATCAGCATCATCACCACCACCACCACCATCATCATCATCATCAGCATCCTCATCACCATCATTAGCATCATCATCAAGCACATCGTCATCATCAGCATCACCAGAATCGTCATTATCCTTCTAATCCTCCTCCTCCGCCTCCTCCCCCTCCTCCTCCTCCTCATCCTCCGCCTCGTCGTCACCATCGTCTTCGAGATCGTCTCCATCACCGAAGCCCTCATCATAGTCATCACCACCATCACCATCAGCAGCACCACCATCACCATCATCATCACTTACATCATCATCATCATCATCATCATCATCATCATCATCATCATCATCATCATCATCATCAGCATCATCATCATCATCATCATCATCATCATCATCATCATCATCAGCAGCATCATCATCAGCATCAGCATCAGCATCAGCATCAGCATCAGTATCAGCATCGTCATCAGCAGCAGCATCGTCATCGTCAGCATCATTAGAATCATCATCATCATCATCATCATCATCATCATCATCATCATCATCATCCTGAGCATCAGCATCATCATCGTCATCATCATCGCCACCATTCATCAGCATCAGTACCATCAGCATCATCATCATCATCATCGTCATCATCATCATCAGCAGCAGCATCAGCATCAGCATCGTCACTATCGTCGTCGTCATCATCAGCATCATCATCTGTTTCTGCATCATTATCATACACCTCTTACCTCGCTCCTCCACACGATCCTCCCAAATCCACCCTCCAACCACCCCGTTCTTCCTCCTCCTCCTCCGCCACCTCATCCGCCTGATCCTCCTCCTCCGATCATCGCCATCATCATCAGCACCATCATCAGCATCATCATCAGCTGCATCATCATCATCATCATCATCATCATCATCATCATCATCATCATCATCATCATCATCAGCATCATCATCATCATCATCACTATCATCATCACCAGCAGCAGCAGCATCATCAGCGGCAGCAGTCTCAGCATCAAAGACATCATCGTCATCACCAGCTTCAGCACCAGCAGAAACATCATCCTCGTCATCAACAACATCCCCATCATCAAATTTATCAGCATCATCGTCATAATCATCAGCACAGGCATCATCAGCATCAGCAACATCATCATCATCATCATCAACAACAAAAACATCGTCATCATCGTCACCACCGTCACCAACGTCAGCAGTATCAACAGCATCGTCATCCTTTTCCTCATCAGACTGCTCATCTTGATCATCACGAGTATCAGCATCAGCATTATCAGCATCAGCATCATCATTATCGTCATCGGCAGCAGTATCATTATACTCAGTATCAACTTCATCACTACCATCGTCATTACCAGTACCATCACCGTCATCACCATCATCGCCATCATCACCATCATCACCAGCATCACAATCATCAGCATCATCATCAGCATCATCATCACCGTCATCAGAAGCACCAAAATCTCGCCAGCACCATCATCATCATCATCATCATCATCATCATCATCATCATCATCAACATCAACATCATCATCATCATCATCATCCTCATCATCAGCATCATCATCACCAGTATCAGCATCATCATGAGCATCATCATCATCATTTTCACGATCGTCATCATCATCATCGTCATCGTCATTATCGTCAGCACCATCATCAGCAGCAACATGAACATACTTGTCATCATCATCATGGTCACTAACGTCATCTTTACCAGCATCCTCTTCATAATCACAAGCATCACCAACATCATGATCATCATCAGCAGCATCATCAGCATAGTCACCATCATCATCAAGAGCAGCATCAGCATCTGCATCGGCATCATCATCCTACGCCACGTTCCTCTCCTCCGCCCCCTTCTCCCCCATCCCACCTCAACCCCACCCTCCTCCCCCACCTCCTCCGCCACCTCATCCGCCTCCTCCACCTCCCCCGATCATCGCCATCATCATCGTCATCATCATCATCATCATCATCATCATCATCATCATCAGCATCAGCATCAGCATCAGCATCAACAACAACATCATCATCGTCATCGTCATCGTCATCATCATCATCATCATCATCATCATCATCATCATCATCATTATCATCAGCAGCATCATCAGCAACATCGTCAGTAGGAGCAGCCTCAGCGTCGACGACATCATCGTCGTCGTCGGCATCAGCAGAGAATCATCATCATCACCATCATCCCCGTCATCGTCAGCATCATCATCAGCAGCAGCATCGCCATCGTCATCATCCTCATCATCATCATCATCATCATCATCATCATCATCATCATCATATTAATCATCATCGTTGTCATCGGCATCATCAGCAGCAGCTGCACAATCATCAATAACATCGTCGTCATCGTCACCACAGGCGCCAACGATATCATCATCAGCGACGTCATACGGTAACTCATCATATTGGTCACCCAAATCATCACCGTCACTTACATCATCAGCAGCAGCATCATCATCAACATCATCAGCATCAGCATCAGCATCGTCATCATCGTCGTCAACATCACCATCATAACCATCATCAAAATCAATACTGGAAGGGTCTCTTTACAATGGGTCATTCTATTTCAAATCCATGCGACGCAGGCAACACGCAGCGAGAGCCCCTGGGACACAACGGCTCCAAGGAGGCACAGAAAGCGTTTGACCACAACCAAGGCCTCGGGGGTGTTAGACAACGCAAGGCACCGGACCTGAGAGGCAAACAGCAAGCGTATCTCGGTGAAGATGGCGGGCCGCTTGCGGGCGTTCCATCCTGACGAAGGGTCAGCCCGCTCTGGCTCCTCAGGAAGCGAGGGAAGGAAAAGGCAGAGAACAGCCGAGGACACGCAGCTGGAATGGCGGCGGGTTCTGAACCGTCGCTGCTTTGCAAAGCGGGGTATAGATTATAGGGTTTGGCATTTGGCCTCGAGAAAGACTTGGGAGACAACAGTTGCGGAATGTAAACGCATGCAACATCGACCAGAGACAATCCCACTCAAACCTGCGCACGCACATCAATTACTGGGAGGGTCTCTTTGCAGCGGGTCATTCTATCTCAGGTGAATGTGACGCAGTCAACACGCAACGAGAGCCCCTGGGACACAACGGCTGGCAGGAGGCACAGAAAGCTTTCGACCACAACCCATAGCACGAAGATTCGGGCATCCCGAAACATGGAGAGTTACCCCGTCTTGGACCAAGGTGGCTGCCGGCAGGTTCGCGCGGGCTATGTAAAATTCTAGCCAGCAGGCGGCACAGCTTCGGGGGGTGGGGCTGAGCGAAGGCTGTCCAGATCTTACCGTTGGGCCACCACCACCACCACCACCCGCAAGGTGGAAATGCGGTGCATTAGTGCGGAAGCACTAGCCATTCTGACCTGCACATCTCATCTCAAGGAGCTTGTCTAAATCTTGGACCCACACAGATTCCCTACCTAGGCTCTGCCTAGAAGGGTTTACTCTCTGGGCTTAAAAGGGCCGGGCAGTGGAAAGCGCGTCGGGCGGTTCACCCAGTATCCGCCCCGCGGTTCCCCCAGCTACGTCCCCTTAGTTTAGCGTCGCCTATATCATCTTAGCTTAGTTTATTTCATATTAGCTTAGCTCAGCTTCATCGCAGCTCAGGCTTATCTTAGCTTAACGTACCTTCATATTAGCGTCGTTGGACTTTAGCAAATCAGAGCACAGCATAGCATAGCGTAGCGTAGCATAGCATAGCGCAGCATAGCATATCATGACATAGCCTAGCATAGCCTAGCATAGCGCAGCATAGCATAGCATAGCATAGCACAAAATATCATGACATTGCATCTCATAACATAGCATCACATAGCGCAGCTTAGCATAGCAAAGCAGAGCATATCATAGCTTAGCACAGCACAGCGCAGCATGACATAGCATAGCTTAGCATAGCAAAGCATAGCATCGCATGGTATAACATAGCATAGCGCAGCACAGCATAGCATAGCATAGCATAGCATGGCCTAGCGCAGCATAGCATGGCATGGCATAGCATAGCATAGCATAGCATAGCAACTAATGCTGCTTCCCTAGGGGGGGGGGGTCCAACTCCTAGGTAGGGTCGCACTGGGGTAATTGCCAAAAAAAATCGGGCCCTTTTCCTCCAAGGAGTCCACAGCATACAAAAAAAAACACCATTTCATCGACACACGGCAATTCCCGAATTTTCTG